CTCCCAACCGTAGCTCTCTCTAAATGCACACCACAGAGCTGAGACCAGTGCACTGAGAGCGTGTAGCCTGCCGCGGTCCATAGCCCAGAGAGGCGCGTAGCCCAGAGTGTCACGTAGCCCAGAGTTGCGCATAGCCCAGAACAGCACATAGCCCAGAGTGGTGCATAGACCAGAGAGGCGCATAGCCCAGAGCGGCGCATAGCCCCCGGCTATCGCAGTGGGCGGGAGCTTCCTCTTGCGGGCCTGTAATTACGGTATCTGTGCCTCTGTGTGTCATTTGATATCTCCCTAAAATAACTTGTGTGCATGCAGCAGTCACCCCTTCCAGCCCCCTAGCCCCCCAAATGCCCCCGCACTGAGCATTTAGCCCCCCCCCCTTGAGATACTCACCCAAGATGAGAGCCAGCAGGAGCACCAAAGACAGCCCTATGGACGCCCCCAGCGCCCCCTTCAACAATCGGCCAGACCTGCCTGCCTTGGGGCTGCTGCTGCCCAGCCGTTCTGCCTCCATGCTGTCCTGGGGGGCACACAGAGATACAGGGGGGTAACTCTTGTTTCCCCCCAACCCACCCCCCTGCCTCAACTCCTAACTCTCTTTCCCAAACCCCACCGCGGTTCCTCTCTTCTGCCTGCTCTGTACATCCACTCCTCTCCCTCTTTCTCAAACTGTGTCCAGTCTGGAAGGTTCTTCTCTTACCCTCTGGTCCCACCTCCCCAGGAATGCCGTGTGTCGTTAGGCTCCGTTAGGGTCCGCGTACGGTGCTGGCACTTTGTCACACTTTGGGTCAGGAGTTCAGGTTTCCTGCAGAAACAAGATCCTAGGATTCTGCCACCAGCCTTGGAGGACTTCTGGGTCCCGGTTTCACTGGCAGCTTCCCCACACGGGGCTCCAAAAGGCAGAGAGAGAGAGAGAGGGAGGGAGAAAGTGAGAGGCAGAGAGAGATGGAAAACAGAGGAAGATAAGACGAGCCAGTGGAGCAGAGACAGGATGAGCAGCAGCGTCCACAGCCAGGCGAACAAAAGGCCAAACAAAGTAAGGAGTGATTAAGCGCGACTCTTTTCCACGGGTGGCCGTTTGCTGCCTAGCTCTCTCTCTCTCCCTTGCTCCCTCCTTCTCCCTTGTTTTTTCTCTCTCCAGCACCTGCCCTCTGTACCGATGATGACCACGTTTGGTGCCACGTGCCACACCCTGCATGTCGGGACCGCTTGGCCGGGCTTTTAAATTTTAGAAACTGTTTTAAGGGTAAATGTCTGCTAAAAAGCTGTAATCTACATAGTCCGGTTATGTAAACAGGGAAAAATGCATGTGTGTTCCGGCCTTTAGCTCCGTGCCATGCTCAGATGGATAAGAGAGGCCAAGACAGAGTGTTAACACATTAAGAGTGTGTGTATGAGGATGTGTGAGCTTTCAGCCGGACCTGGAGGCTTACGTGTTGTGACAGACCCTTGGAGCTCAAGCTGACAACAGCTTTTTATTAAAGTGCTTTTCATATCTGTGAGAAACACAGCGAAGAGCAATCACAAAATCCGGAAATATCAAAACATTCACCTTCAAGTCCTTATGGGCGTTGTGGGGTTCTAAGTCTCGCCGTCTGAGTTTTGGACACACAGTGGGGCAGCACGGAGCTGTACGTCTCACTGTCTGAGCTTAGAGCTCTGTGATCTCAATTTCCTTATCACCAAAATATCTGAAATTCATGCTCAAGTATGATCCAGTGGTGCCCTGGTATTAGCTACTCCAGTGCACACTGTTAACTTCAGTAATTTCTCTCTCATCTCCCTCCCTCATCTAAGCAGAGTAATATCGGATCTAAAACCCTCCACATACACCCTGGACCCAGTGCCACCCCATCTTCTTGAAGAGACTTTTGGCTGCATTGATCCTTTTATTTTGGACATTATAAATAGTTCACTCATTTCTGGATGAGTACCAGTGTTTTTTAAACATGCAGTTGAAGCTGCTAATAAAAAAACTTGGTCTCGATTCCAATGACCCAAGCAATTACAGGCCAAAATCAAAGCTTCCATAGTGGACATGGTTGTTTTCCAGCAACTTCAGCCATTATTTTAACTGAAAATAATATATATTGGATATATTTCAATCTGGTTTCTGGTTAAAAGACAGCACTGAGGCAGCACTTATTAAAGTATACTGCTTTCTGTGGACTCTAAGGACTATGCAGTATTGATGTTGTTGGATGTCAGTGCCACATTCGACACTGCAAATCACTGCATTGTTTTAGAGCACCTTAGAGGAGAACCTCCCATGCCATGTTCGATCTTCCCCTGCTATTGAACGTTTTAAGTCGAGGCTAAAAAAATCATTTATTTGCTGTTTTATTGGCAGTTTAGACATGTGCTGTGTGTTTTATTACAGTCTTTGTAATTGTGATGTCTTTCTTATGTTTTACATTTTGCTAAATTTTATATATTTTTTAATGTATATTTACATTTTTCCCCTGCTTTTTATGCATATTTTTTATTGTTGTAAAGCACTTTGGCAAACCACTGGTTGATTTTAACAGTGCCATATAAAAAAATTACTTAACTATGGATACTCAGTGGGGCGGCTCGGGGCTCTACGTCTCACCATCTGACCTTTGGAAAGCAGTGGGGCAGCTTGGGGCTCTACGTCTCACCATCTGAGCTTTGGACATGCAGTGGGACAACGTTGGGCTCTATGTTTCGGCTTATGAGCTGTGGACATGAAAAATGGTGCTCAATGTCTTGCTGTCTGACCTTTGGATGGATGCACAGTGAAATTTTTCAAGATCAAGCTGCTTTCAATAGCTGAACTTTCGTTTATTTTTATAGGCAATATTTTCCGACGATTGCACATGATTGCCTCCTTTGAAACTGGCGGGGACATCTGGGTTTTTTTTTCCCTGAGTGTTTTGTTTTTCCTGTTTATTGACTGGAAATAACCGAAGAAGCCAGTCTGTAAACATCCCCGGCACTAAATCAAACATCCCCCCCCATGATGCTGCTGTACATGAAGGATTCTGACAGTCCCAGTTCATTCTCCACACCGGTTCATCGGGTGTAGCAGCCCTTCTGAGCGGCCCTCTCCACCCCTCCCCCTCCCCCACCCACACCCACACAGCTCTACCCTTCTCTCTCAGGCAACACCCTCAGGCTGCTGTAGGCTGTGCCAGCTGGCCGGTGACCACAGCACCACACACACTGGGTGACAGTGTGACAGAGCTCAGGCTACTGCCTGGAACCGAAAGCCCCCACCTGCATTCCCTCCACTTATGTCTGCGCCACCAGGCATGGGCACGGGCACCAATCTCCGCAGGGCACCAATCTCAGCGTGCCTCTGTTTTGGGATCTGCAGATGACTGAAAGCCATACCAGCCAATCAGAGAGGAACGCGGGAAGAGGAAAGCAGGCGTGGGCAGTACCCCCAGAGGGGAGGCCCTGCGACTCTATTCCTGGAGCCCAGTCTGGGTGGACTAGGCAGACGCTTCCTGACACTCCCAGAGAGGGAGGTGAGCGCACTGTCATTATAGCAGTGTGACGGGCAGCTATGGGGAACAAAGACGAGTGCAAAGAGCGCCTGTCAGCCAGCGGAAGAGCACGGCAAGAACATAGGGACACACAACAACATACACACACTGTATTCATATTTGGTACCCACAATGTACTATATATACTCACCTAAAGGATTATTAGGAACACCTGTTCAATTTCTCATTAATGCAATTATCTAATCAACCAATCACATGGCAGTTGCTTCAAT